TATCAAAAAGAGAAAAAGAGATTCCAAGGCCCAGTCTGGCTCCAGGGACACTTGGTTTATTAGTTCCTGCCTTAGAAATACAGCCACAATTATAGTTTGGAGGGGATAGAGGAGTATGTGACGGACAGGTCTCAGCATGTGTGTGCCTGTCCCTCCATCCCAGCTGGACTGGGCAGCATCTGGGCATCACTAAGCATAACAGTCAACTGTTCTTTGATTCAGTTCCTCATTGGTTAAACGGTATGGTGAATTAAGTGGCGATGCATACCTGTAATCTCAGCTCTGTGACAGGATGCACGACGAAGGTCTCAAGTTCAAGTCCAGCCTGGGCAACTTAGCCGTACCCAGTTTCCACATAAAAATATACAAAGAGGTGAGATTATAGCTCAGGGTTAGTATGCTTGACTAGTATGCATAGAGCTCTCAGTTCCGTCCTTGCCATAAAATAAAATAAAACTTCTCGACAAATTCCTTCTCGGGGATGCTCTCGAATCTTTATACTTTTAAAATGCTGAAAATACTTGCATACATAAACTCTCAATACATGTGACTGTATTCACCCAACAGTCATTTGGTGAGTGCCTGCAGAGTTGTAGGTACTGGACATAGACAGTAGTAACCAGAACACAAGATGTGTTAGTCAGTGTTCAGTTGCTATATCAAAGACCTGATGCGATCAGCTTATAAAGAAAGCAGATCTAGCCAAGCTCACTCTCACTGTGAATGGAGGTTTCCATCCATAAAACATTAGGCCTTTTACTTTGAGTTCCTAGCAGCCCATCATGGTTGGAGCACATGGTGGAGCAAACCATACTCCTTGTGCCTAGGAACTGAAAGAACAAGAGGAAGGGACTAAGGCCCCATGGTTCCCGTTGAGGACAGTCCTCCAGTGACCTTAAACTTCTCATCCACTGCCCAGCAGCAGTAACTTGAGGACCAGGCCTTCAACCCCTTGACTTTCAAGGGAGTGTGAAGATCCAACCAAAGCATGGTGCTTATAATGGGCAGGCAATGAGCACATCTAAAGATGTTTCCATAACTAGGACAGCTTTTCTTAAAACTGTAATTGTATAAGTTGCTGCATTTTCTTTATTTTTTGTCTCGATGATGTGAACTGTGTCACATCACGCCTGTCTGTTCCCTATGTGCCTTCTTACAGTTTGTGAACGGGGCAAGAGGCTGGAGACTGAAACACACAAAGACTCACAGACAGAGACACAGGCTACCCTTGAAACAGGAACCCCTTTACTGTGTACCTGAGCCGCTTATATAGAGATCCTTAACTGATAGCCATGCCCCAGCCAAACGCACCAGAACCCACTCCTCTGCCATCAGGAACTCCTGAGGGTCTCGTGCTCAGAGCAGCTGCAGGCTGTCTCAGAGCAGAGGAAAACAAGTTGTTTACCAGACATTCAGGATCTGGGGGTTCACAGCTACCAACAGTGAACGCTTACTAGGTCTTTGATTTTAGACTGTAGAGGATCTATCTTTGGAAGATTTCCATTTTGACACCCATTTCTCTATGGTGAGTCTCTATTAGCTTGAAGTACGATCTACCTGGGTTTCAGATATCAGATGCTGTAAGCCCAGAGGCTGCTTTTGTTAGGCCTTATTCACATCAATGTTTGCTGAGACCAGGTAGGAAACATGCAGAGGGGAGATAGCTACCGTGTGGGCCCATTGCTCCAGTCCAAGCAACTTCTGGGGTACTGGTTAAGATGGGGAGATGTTTAATTTTGGCATAAAACGCGTGGGGTTTGTTGTTGGTTTGTGGTGCCAGGGAAGGAATCCACGGCCTTGCTCATCGAGGCTGACACTCCATTGCTGAGTTACAGCGCCAGTCTTGTACTTTCACATTTGAATTTTCGACAGTGTTTCCTTAAGTTGCCTCAAACTCCCTGTCTTCCTGCTTCAGTGTCCCTACAGCTGGGATTACCGGCATGGACGGCCACACCTGACTCTGATTTTGTTAATTAGTACCTGCAAATCTGCCTTTTAAAAATAACACCATTGACCTGAGCCAAGGGTTAAACGAGGCTGTTCTGCCAGCCAAGCTCAATCTGGGAACTGGTGGTGGGCAGAAGTCCTACCATCCCAGAGTGTCCCCTTTGTTCTGCTCAGCCCTGCCTCAGGGAAATGCTGCTTTCTCACCTACCTGCTGCCTCTCCCCTCGCCAGTCTCTCTGGCAGTCTGTATCAGGTTCAGTTTCTGGGCTGGGCCATGCATCGCAGGACAGACTGGTGAGTTTGAGTGACAATCCTCTCCCTGCACCCAATGATTCAGAATCTACGTGAGGGTGGGGAAATGAACCCATTCTTTATGTCTACGACTAGGGATGCAGCAGAGGCTTAAACCAAGGATTATGAGTTTAAGCCAGTCGGGGCAATTTAGTGAGACCCTGTTTCTACGTAAATAAACCAACAAATACATAAATAAGAAACTGGGATTTAACTTGGTGATGGACTGCTTGTCTAGCATTTGCAAAACTCTGGGCTCAGTCCCCAGATTTAAAAAAAAAAAAAGCCTGCTTTCTCAACTTTCATAATCACTGATGTCTTTGACTCTTGTACTTTCCATCTTTTTTGGTAATATTTGTTTTCATTGCATATTAATATGTCCCTGAGCAGAGTGCTTCCATCCCAGAGGGAGTAAGTGTGGGTAGTGGCAGGAACATACGGCTGTATTCAGAGTCTGCCAAGCATGTTACAGATGAAACGAGAACCCCACGGTCCGCTCGGCTCACCCTAGACTCCCGGCTCTTTGTTTTCCAAAGATTACAGGATCAGAATATCTGGTCACCCTGTCCCAGAATATAATCAGCCGTGTGGCGGAGTTGGGCTCAGTTCTGCACTGATGGTGTGTGAGAGGCAGAGGATTTGGGGCCAGGCTTTGAGAGCCAGCAAGCGAGAGAGCAAGCCTTTATTCCTGTGTTCTCGGAGCCAAAGCTGTCTTAGCTTTGAGTCATAACAAGCTTTTCAGCGCTTTGGACTCTGGCCTTCGCTTAAAGGATTCAGGGATGATGAGCCCGAATTTTTGGTGCCCATGTTTCTGACCTGCCCTTAAGCAAACTCACACAAATGCCACCGCCCTCCTGCGCAGCAGCTCTGATATCTGAGCATGGACCAGAATCCCAGAGGATTGAAAGGCAGGTTTGAGGCCTACCTCCAAATCTGGCCTCAGAGTGGAATGAAGAATTTGCATTCCCAGCCAGCTCCTGGTGATGTTTATGCTGCTGGGCGTGGGACTTTGGGACTTTGGTATATAAAAGTCAGAAGGTGACGCCTTTAAATTATCTATTGCTCTTAATGGTCTTTAGGGACCTAATGGACATCTAGCCAGGAGAACCCGGGTTCTAAACCAACCCTGTTTTTCCAGTTCTGTGACCATGGGTGGGATACCTTTCTTCTCTGAATTTGTTTTCCAGCTGTAAACAATGACCCCTGCCTGGCTTACTTCAAAACTGATCATGGTTTGGATGTAAAAAATATTCCCCACAGGTTCACGTGTTTGCACGTGGTTGGCTATCTGATTCTCGCCCAGTGGCACTGATTGGTGTGTGTGTGTGTAAGCTTTTGGTCAAGGGTCCTAGGTAGGGGATTAGTGGCATGGAGTGTGAGCCCCACTTCCAGCCTGAACTCCCTGCCATTGGCATGTGACAAGCTCCTCTCAATCCCACACTCTGGCAGACTCCCTCACCCAGTTTAAAACTTGGGCCAAAAGAAATCCTTCCCCCCTCAAACTTCTGTCAGGTATCCAGTCACAGTGACCAAAAAGTAACACAAACTGGGACACGGGATGGGAGACTCCAGGGCCCCCTGTGCGTGCTTGGCAAGCCTATGAACAGAATTAACGTGAAAAGATGCTTTTTCGTGAAGAGTTACTTGTTTGAGAAGAAAATGTTATAACTTCCTAGAATACTTCCAACCCAAGAAGGAGATTGTTGAGAAGAGCAGTCTTATCACTAAAATACCAATTGCTGGGCGTTCGTAATGGATTGTATGAACTCCAGGTCATACTGGGGTTCAGTTTCAAGGTTTTGCTTCTAACTACATGTATTTGGTTACTGTGTGGGTGTGTGGGCACCACAGCATGTATGTGAAGATCAGAGGACAACCTGTAGGAATCCCCCTCCCTCCTTCTACCATACAGGTCCTGGGGATCAAACTCAGGTTGTCAGACTTGGTACTAGGGGTCCCTTACCTACTGAGCCAGCTTTCCAGCCCCGAAGATTTTTTTTTTTTAAACAGGATGACTGATATAAAAAGTAAGTTAGTGTCCACGTGGGCCAAGATGTAGGTCGCCTCTGCTTGCTGCTAGATGATTGACTTTAGGCTCCCTTTTCTGCCCAGTTAGTGGAGGTGGAGACTCCTCCCATGATTGGCTTTGCTTTTTCTCCTGACTGGGAACAGCAGTGGCTTCCCTCTCTTAGTCCAGCTGACAACCATGCTGGCAAAAACGGGGCAAATATTATTTCTTCTGCTGTTCAAGTTTGTCTGCAGCAGCAAACCTACAGATGAAGGGCCGGGAACCTGACTTAGCTGAAAGGGGCTCGCGGTCTGAGGAGCTGCCGGAGGAATAACAGGAGGAGTCAGGACCGTGCCCCTACTCCCACCTCCCATCCTTGCCTCCACCTCCCCAGATCTACTCTGAGCCTTAACACCAAGCCCATGTTCTTCCAAAGAAACCTAAAGCCTGAATCAGGAGCTATGTGGTGCAGGGGTAGGCCTTCGTCCAGGTTGTCCCTCAAGTGGCCGCTTGACTTCAAGTATGCTAAATGCCTAACAGGGCCAGCTATAAAAGCAATCTATAGCCAGATTGATTCTATGTTTGATATCAGCTTTCAACTCTCAGTTAAGGCATAGGTAATTTAATGAGTGCAAAGTGGAAAAGAATAAGAACGGTGATCTCTCATTTTGTGTGCTTCCTGTCACCCAGAGTCACCTGCCAGTAGCTTCATCCATTCCTTTGAACAAAGGCGAATGTTTGACATTGTTTTCCAGGTGAGCACACAGCTCCAAGGGCATGCGGACAGGGGATGAAGGTGCAAAGAACTGACTAAGTGGGACTCCCTGAACACTGACGGGCCCAGCTGGAGGATTCAGCTCGCCAAGGCCAACTTCTCTCACCTAAAGCGTGGAAGTGGACGTCTGAAAGTAACAAAGTAACAAAGGGCGTGATCACACTCACTTGAGTTCCAGTGGAAGAATTTTAGAGCTGGCAGCCCAATCTGGGAGAAGCCTTCAAGTCCTCCAACCTGCAGACCCACTCAGCAAGTGCGGCAAGTGACAGAGGAACCACCACCCCGACAATCAGGGGGACAGGATGCTTGCTCCTCCCTACTCACAGAGCATTAAACAACCGCTCTGAGTCCTTTGTTTGCAATCAAAGTTCAATTCTAATCAATATAATTAAAACTAGGAGTCGGATAAAGCATCTGACTGCAAGGCCAAGGAGAGAGCTTCAGGAATGGTTGGATCAAGGGCCTTAGGTCACGTCTGACTGAGGTGGGTATTTATATATACTTGCTCAGCTTCCCAATGTCTTGACATCAGTTCTGGGCAAGATAATACTAACCATATCTTTAAGTCTTCAAAATTTAAGGTACATGGGCATATTTTCCAGTGCTCCTATAGTAGGCTGGTATTGCTATAGTGAAGAGCTATGAGCTGAGGCCTGAACAACAAAAACTGATTCCATCCAAATTCTGGACACCAGAATTCCAAGATCAAGATGTCAGCAAGGCTGGCTATCCCAGAGCTGTGGGGAAGAACAAGTACCACTGTGGTTTGCTAGCAGTCTTTGGGGTCCTAATCTCTGCCTTCACCTGCATATGACGTTCTCCTTATGTGTCTCTGTCTCAGTTCCCCCATTTACTGTGGACACTGTTTATATTTCGTTGGGGGTCTACCCCACTGCAGTGCGATCCCACCCTACCCACCACGTCAGCAACTCCCCTTTTTTCCAAACAAGACCACATTGTGCAGTAGTGGGGTGCCAAGATTACACAGGAATTTGGACAGAACACATTTCAACTTCTAATAGCATCTTTCACATCAGTGTGACCAAGAACTTCACAGCGGCACTGGCTGGGCTTCTCATGAATAACGGGTATTTCAGAACCAATACCTGTGATATACTGCCCTGTCTATAGGTCTGCTGGTATAGGCAGCATGCCTGTTTAGAGCTGCGGTTCTCAATGTGTGAGTCTTGACCCCCTGGGGGGATAGCATATCAGATATTCTGCATACCAGATATTTACATTATGATTCATAACAGTAGTAAAATCACAGTTATAAAGTAGCAATGAAAATAACTATGGTGTGTGGGGGATCCCTTGACATGAGGAACTGTATTAAGGGGGAGATTTAAGTATAAATGAGGAAGTTTGGGAACCATTGGTCTAGAGGAAGCATAAACTCTGGAAATAAGAGGCCTAAACACGGCTTGACTCCCTTTGAAAGCAAGGTCCTCTTGTCGCGAACTAAGAAAGGAAGTTGAGCATCTAACTACTCTTAGTTCTTGAAGGCATCCTGGGCTCCGTCGGCTCCTGGTGGCTCTGTGCTTTGCGTTCATTCCTTTTCATATCAGGAGATGAAAACAGTAGCTCCTGGTTATCAGTCCACCTAGTATTGATTAAAATCCCTTCCCGAAGACCTTCCGCCTCACTTCCGGCATGGTATGATTTGCTTTTCTTTTGACTCCATGTAACATGTGATTAATGCTGATCTTGGGAGTCCCGGTGAGATGAAGCCGGGTGTCGGGTGTGATTTGTCAGCTTGGAGGTATAGATTATTTTATGCTTCTCAAACTTTGTGGCCAAGGGAACACGGCTCTTGATTGTTAGATCCATCCACACTTTCCCCTGGGCTATGAAATGCCAGAAACATTAAATACCCCACTTAATACATAACCTCATTCTGTATGCTTGACTATTTTGTTTTTAATTTTTCTTCCCTTTCCCGGCTGCTCACATGAAATGGGATCAAAGAAAAAAATTATCCTCACTGGATTTTGTTAAAATATTAATAGGTTAGGGTTGACTGGCTAAATTGAATATCTTTGCTGATCTCCCTTGCATGTTTAACTTGTGCTTAGGAAAATATGTTTCCTAGGTGATAACCTTTTATGTACCAGCCCGACTTCATTGAAATGCATAGAGATAAAAATATGTCACGCTCAGCGGCTACGCTATTCTTGTGTGCCTCTGCGATTATTCAGATGGTAATTGACCCCCACCTGTAGACAGCTCCGATTCTGTAGTCAATCATTTCATTTGATGTTAAAATATGTGAAAGTACAATTATATAATTTACATTACAAATCACGCTGAATGCCAAGGGTCTCTGAACCCCTGACAAATGCAAAGGCACCCAGGGTTGCAGGGGCGGAAGGAGGGGGGGAGAACGCTGGTCAATAAATGGAGTGAATTACACCGGGTGAGGGTTCAACTCTTCTTATTTGTGTCCACAACAAGAGCTTTTGTGTGTGTGTCACGGAGAGACTGCCTGTGGCCTTTTTGCACCACATATGGCACCGTTTTGGATGCCTTTCTGCGGACAGCATCCCTTTCCCAGGGAAAGATTGCTCCTCGTGGCCTCCGATTAGGTAAAGAGGCAAGGACTTGTGGAGGCCATAAGAGGAAAGTGGAGCTGATAAAGGGGGTGATATGGGATCTGGAAGGTCACAATAGCTACCTGACGTGGAACACAACTCCAGCATGAGTTATCACCTTGTCACTTAGCCTTGAGACTTTCTGAGCCCCGGTTCCCAGACATCAGGCCCTAAATATTACCAGTAGTCAAGGGGATTTTCCCTTGATTTTCAGTACGTGGTCAGCCCTAGGTTAAACATGTCATTTAGCATCATCTAGAGTATGGGTCTGGGCTTGAATCTCTGCTGTGGCATCTGGACTGTGGAACATTCCACCCTCACATCCATGAAAGTGGCTCTGCTCTCATTCACTCCCTTTCAGAGGAAGACAGCCTCCGGGGACAGGAGGATTACAGGGTTTGCTCGCCCAAGGCCATTTAGTGAAAAAGGTGGCCAAATGGGGGAATTATGCTTAAATCCTTTCAGTGGCAGAGTCTTGGCTGGTGACCACTCTGCTCTTCTGGGCCAGTCATCAGAAACTTCCAGACACAGGACACAAAGAGAACGTCTGGGACACGATCTCAGCCTCTGCAGAGATTATGGGAAGGTAGGTGGGTTGAAATGGTAGTAGGGACCATTGCTGACTAGCCCAAGGAGGGAACTCACCGACCACAGGGCCCCTGATGGAGATGGAGCATACTGTGTTGAGGTAGCACACTGACTTTGGGCCAGTTCTGATGCTTGCCGGTGAGCGAACCTTTGACTTTCCTAGTCAGGGAGGAGTTAGGAATGATAACTTCCTACAGGGATACAGAGCGCTTCCTACATGGGAACCACGCAGTCTACCCTCCTGCTGGTCCAGGTGCGTGGAAGCAAAGCTCTACTCTCCCCAAAATGGCATCCAGGCCCCAAGGACCGGGTTCATTTATGTAGCGGACGCTTGATCCACCTGATCCTCAAATTGTACTGGGCGCCCTGCCCTCTGGCAAACCAACCCTCCTACCGCTGCCAGCCCTCCTCACAGCGCAGGAATTGCCTTCTGGGCAACACTGACCTGGCAGTCTCCCGGAAGAGCAGGTGATGTGTCGTCACGTGAGCCGATGCAGGAAGTGGACGCTTTGCTGATCTCCGTCATCTATCTTTCCTCTGCACTGGGCACCTTCCTGAGGAGCCAAGCACCAGCTTCCACCCCCATCCTACTTCCTGCCTGCCGTGACATCTAGCACAGAGTCACCTCTTCTGCTGGCCTCAGTTTCCTCATTCCTCAGCGGAGTGCCTGCCTCATAGGGTTGGTGTATGGACTAGAACAGCTCAAGTGTAAACACTTTCAGCGATGCCCGATACAGAGCAATCTCGTATGCCATGTTCAAAGGTTTCCCCTTTCCTCTGAAATGATTGTCCTTCATGAATGTGTGTGTATAAGCTAAATCATTTGTAACAAACTTTAGCTAAACATATGACCATTTAATGTTGTTCACAGATGCCCCATCAGGGTTTGGATTTGCGATTGGCAAATCCCCAAAGAGGCAGTTTAGATCTGTTGGCTTGACTTCAAGGATCCCGACAAATTGCCCCCGCTCTCCCTTGTGGATCTGTCTCCACTAGCAAGTGACTAGGTACTTTAGGCTGTGTCTATTCAGATAAAATGTGTTCATTATGAATCTGCCCACACAAGCCAGAATGCCCAGCAGCTCAGGAGGCTGAGGCAGGAGGACTGCAGGTTTAAATCAGCCTAAGATACAGAGTGAGTTCAAAGTCAGTCTAGGCAACTCAGTGAGATCCTGTCTCAATATTAAAAAGTCAAAGGAGTACTGGAAATGTAGCTCAATGGTAAATCATTCAGCTAGCATGGGTGAAGCCCTGGGTTCGATCCTCATCACAGGAGAAAGTGTTGCTTGGTGATTTTGTCCAGAGGCTGTGCAGTTTGGTGGAATACAGGTCTGGGTTCAAATCTCCACCCTATGGATTGTGTAATAATTGCTCATCTTCTGCCTCAGCTTTCCTGTGTGTGAAATGGTAATAATAACACACTTTACCTCTTTAGAGAGATTAGAATAATTAAATGAACTGATTCATGAAAGGTGCTATCCCAGAGCACGGCAGAGAGACTGCTCACTAAATGCGGGGTGATGGTTGGCCAAGGGCTAGCTCTCAGTTCTCCCTTCCCTACCAGAGACAGCTCAGCAAGGAGCCAGGGATGCTGAAGGGAGTGGCTTCTTTCCACTGCATCAGAAATCCAGCAGAAGAAAATGCCCCCTTGGAATGAACCAGATGCTCTGGCCAGGAAAAAAAAAAGTTCCCAGGCATCTTCTGGAGACTCATTTTTTAAAGTGAATTGAGACATTATCTTTAATTAAAGTGGCAATCTGCCTCCCTGCCTGTGAGCTCCTCTTTCCTCCACGCTGAAGTGCCGCCTGACTTGTCCCCTCCCTGCCTTCTCCTCCTCCACTAATTTCAAGCTCATGGAGGGCCAGTTTACTAAATTGGTTTTAATGGAAATTTAGCCAACATGAATAATAATGAAATGTAAAATTATGCCTTGGCTAATGAACAGCCAGCGGCTTTGGGGTTAATGGCTTGCTTCTGGTGTCAGCTTATTTATATTGAAATAGAATTGCAATAGGATGCCCAATCAAAACGGTTTCATCTCTTTGATCACCACCCACCTTGGGGCTCATTCCTTATCACACTTATTGTATCACAATCATTCCCACTTGGATCTACTTGTGAATTAATTAATTACCTAGTTAAACCTGAGTCGATTCTTTTCCTCCTTAAAAAAAAAAATAGAAACATCTTTTCTCACCTTGTTATCTACAGGCTCTTCTAGGGAGGAAAGCACTAAGTAAGGTTGTGTGAGTGCATTTCATGCTAACACGGTGTTTTTGCTCCAGCAACATCCATAGGCATTGCTTCTGTCAGCTCGGAATCGCTGTATCAGATCGCAGAGACAGCAAACCATTGCTCCCCACGTTTCCAGAGGCTGAGAAATGCAAGATCAAGGAGCTGGCAGGTTTGGAGTCTGGTGAGGGTCTGTGTTCAAGTTTGCAAGAGGCCTGTTTTCTTGTGTTCTCAGGAAAAGGGGAGAGAAGGAACAAGCTCACACTAGCCTTGCTTTTACTGCTCTTGCAAACACCCAACACAAGGAACTTCAGGGAGGAAAAGCTCCTTTGGCTCCTACTTTCAGGACGATTTGGGTACATTGGTGAGTGAGGAGAGGCAAGGCGGCAGGCCTGTCACTGTCCATAACAGACCAGGAGGCAGGCTGGACCCAAGTCCAAGTGTAACCTCTAAGGGCCCATCCTGGTGACCCACTTCTCCTAGCCAGGCCCCACCCCTTAGAGGTTCCACAAGCCAAAAGAAATGCTGTGAATTTGAAACTAAAAGTTCAGAACAGGAGTCTGTGAGGGCCATTTCATATTCAAAACCTCACAGAGGTCTTGCTCTCTTACAAGGGCGTTCATTGGCCCACTCACGTGGGCCCTACTCTCACCATATAATTCCCTCCTAAGACCCTGCTTCTACATGCCAGCCACCGCAGGGATTAGGAATGCATCATTTGTTAGGGAAGAGTCATTAGTCCAGCAGACATGAAAATCCCTTCACTGCTGTCTAGATCACTTGGTTCCATACCTCCTGGCCAAAGATGCTCCTCAGCTTCGGGACAGAGGATGGAAGAGCAGGGAGGGAGGGCGTGGCTGCCTCCAGAAACTCAGCTTCCACAGGACATGGGTCCCTGTTTAAAAGGAGGGAGTTAAATTATTGAGACAATGGTTCTCAAACCCCTGACGCTTCTTCAGGAGTTACTTGTGAGGACACCAAGGTATCTGTGGCATTCTATGGGTTCCCTTTTTACGGGTAGGTTCTCTAAGTGTGATTACTCAAATCATACCATTCATTTCTAGTGTGTGTGTGTGTGTGTGTGTGTGTGTGTATGTGTGCATGCGCACACTAAGGACAGCTTTTGAGAGAGTTGGTTCTCTCACTTCACCATGCAGAACTCAAGAGATAGTAGCACTGAGTCATCTTGCCAGCCCTCCAAGGGAGACTTATTTATTTAATCATTTAATTTATTTAGAGAAATAAGAATGAAAGTGGGCGGAGGGATGTTACATTCCTTGGCTACTTGAGACTCATCCAGGCCATGGTTCCTTGGCTCTCACTCTACGAACAGAGATAGTGAAGGGGGAAAAAAGAAAAGTAAAGAAAAAAGAAGGAGGTGGGAAACTGGACTAAATAAAAATATACAACATCTTTGCAACAAAGGATCCTACCAAACAGAATGTAAAAGGCAGAAAATGTATTGGTATCATGTACAGGATAAGAAATTAATAGCCAGAATATATAAAGAGTCCCTAAAACTCAACAATGAAAGAGCAAGCAACCTGACTGAAAACGGGCAAACGATCTGAACAGACATTTCTCTTCAAAAGATGAGCAAGTAGCCGAAGGGCATACTCCTAAATTTTGCCTTCCACTTTCTTGAGTTCTCAAGATTCCTGTATCTAGAAGAAAATTCTATACCCAATTCTACCTCAGAGGAAAGAGGGCTAGGCCGTGGCTCAGAGGTGGAGCCCCTGTCCCGTGTGTGTGTGTTTTTCTGAGTTCCCCACAGCAGGTGAGGCAAGGCTCAGAACCAGATATGGAAAACACTGCTTCTGCCAGCACTGCCCGGGCTGACCGCTTACAGAGGGACCCAGATCTGGCCCTGGACTTCTGTCTGACCCCCACATGCTCTTGGAACGCTCACTTTCCCTCTCTGGATTTTATTAACAAGGTCGGCTGGTGACA